TTTATATAATAATTATATTATTAACATTAATATTTTATTTTTTATTAAAAAATTAATAGTTTTTTTTTATGTTCGCAAGCAAATTTGCCTGCATTATAGACGAAGGGATAATATCGATATCTAATGCAAAGATCAAAATTCAAAGATAATAAAAAACTAATTTAATTTTTATTTATTTATTTATTTTTATTAATTTAATAAAGTAATCTTCGCTAAATATATGACATTTTTAACCATCTGCTTTTTTTTTCTAAAAAAAATGAAATATTATTTTATATATTTGCGTTATATATATTTTTCACATCACAATCCTTTACCCTTTGCATTTTTCTTTGTGAAAAAAAAATTGGTAACTTAATTCATTCCGCATATATTGAATAATATAATAAGATATAATCATTAGCATAATATAAATAAAAAAAACTTTTTTAATTAATTAATATTCACGTGAGATCAATCGTGAAAAAAAAATTTTTTAATATATGTTTTTCTTACATATTATATAGAAAAAATAGTATATTCGTATCAATAATCACGAATCCCTATATCGATATTTTATAAGGTGTTACAAAAATATGCTATGTCATAAACGTCACAATTTCGAAGATTACTAAATATTTTTTTAATAATGAATAAGATAAAATATAATAATCAATAAAGTCTAATGAGTTACTGCGAATTTCGTAATCCCACGTAATGGGGAAAAAAAATCATATAAAAAAGGTAACTTTTAAAGATATCGTTTGATCTAAGCCTAACACATCTTTTTTTCATATAAAATCTTTTCAACCCCTTCACTTTATATCTCAATTAATCCCTTGTAAGAGAAAAAGTCATGGACAAGGACTAGATATTAATATAAACCTTTTAGAGCTACTGAGGATTATCTTGACCTAATACTTTATACAGGGTAAGAGCTATGGAAATCTAATTATAAATTTATTCCTTTACCTAGTGTGTGAAAGGAAATTGTTAGGTTAGGTAAAAAGGAAGTAGAACTCACACTACTTGCAAAAATCACTGATTTTCTAGTAGCGGAGAAAATAATAATAATGATAACACTAACTGACACGCTTTTAATAACTGATGGAATGACCATAGGGAATAATTAAGAGGTTTGTACTTTCAAAAAAGTTCAAGACTAATGCTAACTGTCAACTAGTACTGAAGGTTACGAGACTAAACCTTTCATTTAAATATTTTTTTATGGAAAATAGTATCTGTGATAATTGTAGGTAGACTAAATTAAATCATTTAGCCTAAAAAGTCCTGTATTCTTGTTCCTTCTCCGTTCTAAAATTTTGTTTGATAGACCATAATTTTGTTGTATAATCTTAATCAGTCACAAAAGTTTTTTTTTTTTATTTGAGAAATTTCAAAGTTTCTCTTAAAGAAGAAGTTATACAAGGACATTCTTTTCAAGCCTTTAAGGTAGGTAACTCTTTTAAATTTTCTTTTGGAGGATTCTTCAAAGTGTTTTTTTTTTTTACTTATTAATTCTCCTTTTATTTAGAAATAGAACTTTTCGTTCTCTTGGAATAGGTAAGTCTTCTTTTAAGAAACTTGATGGATTTCTTTATTTTTACCTTCTCCATTTTTTACTATATTCTTTATTCTTAGGAACAGATCTTTCATGCTCTTTAAATAAGATATGTCTTTTGTTCTTTAAGGGATTCTTATAAATATTTCTTCTTTTTTATTAACTCACTTTCTTCTTTTTTTTAGGGACGGGTCTTTCATTCTTTTCAGATAAAGTAAGCCTTTCTTAGTTCTTGGTGGATTAAAAAATATTAAATTATCATTTTTTATTTGTGTTAAATGTAATAAGAATTAATAAATGAAAAGAATTATTTTTAAAAACATCCCAATCGAAAAAAAATACTAATCTAAAAGAAAAAAAAAAATAAATTAATTTAATTGATTACTTAATTAGACTAAGTCTAATTGTCAAGTCTAATTGATCAATTGATCAATTGAACATAGTTCAATTCTAACAAACATTCGATTAGACAATTAGACAATTAGACACAATTGAACTATATCCAATTGTCTAATTATCTAAATCATCTAATTGAATATATTGGAATGAGTCCAATGTCAATACTGATGGTAAATATAATTTTTTTTTTGCTTTACTTGTACAAGGTAGATAAAAAGATTCATTATCTAGAGGCCTTTCCTATTTATATGATTTTAATGGTTTAAGGATATATTTTGAAAGCTTGAATATATGGAGAAAATTTTAAGAATAAATTATATGATACATCATAATGTACATTAGCTTTATTGATTGTAAATAAAAAAATACATATTTTTGTTCATATTATCTTTTACTGCCTTGATTATTGATCTGCCATTTGGCATACAACAATGCCATTATGTGGCTATGATTATGAACTTAAATTTTTTGCTTGAAGTGTTGCAGGTAAAAAAATATTTCAACTTATCTTGGGAATACAACTTCGTTAATTCAGGATCATAAGGGAGCTGATTCCTATTTTCGCAGTATCATGAGCCATGTAATTCATAATTCTCATGTTTTTCATCACAAATAGGACATGGTGAGCTCTACAGCTGAGGTGATGCAAAATTATAATTATCAATCCCTCTGAAACTATTTCTGAATTTTAAGTATGGGAAATGCTCTAAGACGGATTTAATAATTAATTCTAGATTGGGTCTGACTTCAAAAATTATAGGCCCTTTTTCTTCACATTGCTCAGAAGAAGATAAATAGAATACTTTGTTTTTTGGCTTTGAATTTATGAGAAGGCGATCTTCTGATAATTGCCATAGCTCATGCCCAGTTTCTTTTTTATATTTTTTGTATAAGTTAATCTGAATCTTATCCGTCAAAATACTTAATAACCCACTTAATTTAATATGCCAATCCAGATACTCAGAAGTTAGTATTTTCATCAGATTTGCTCATGTTGCCTTTTTCTATGATTACAGATCAATTTAAATTCTTAGATAGAAAGCTGTCTAATATTTTTTATCATATTTTCAAAAAAAATAATTAGATCATCTTTTGAAGTATCTATAATATAAGAAAGGGGTAATGAAACTATGCAGTTATCTTAATTTTGTGCTGTTTATATTTAATAAAGTAAGATTCAAATTTATACCTACCTTCTATACTTTGTTCATCATTATGATCTAACTTGCATAATGGACATGATGTCTCGTCAATAATGTTATAATAATTAAAATTTTCGCTACTAAATTTTTTATATAAAGCAGAATATTAATCTAATATCTTATTATGAAAATAGGATTGGTCATAAGTTGGCTTAGATTGACTGAAGAAAGATACAGATAATACATTTGCTGATGTACTTACCTTAGTCTTAATCTGATCATTTTCTGAGAGAACGATTTTTATTAAGGTCATATAACTTTGATGATCACTAATATATTTTTTTACTTGATTTATGACATTTTAGATTTGTGCGTTAGTTAGTTTCGAAATTTCAGTTGCGCTATATGAGACCAGCTTAATTTTATCTATTCCAATCCCATTTTTCCCGAATAACATGAGATGTTTTCTGGCCCTATGAGTTTTTTTGCATAAGTTAGCTTGTATAATTTTAGTAGAGAGAAATAGTTTCATTTCCTTATAAATCATTGATCTTGTCATTTTATTCTTAATTCTACCATTAGTCGTAAGAGCACCTACCTTGCTCTCAAATTCAAAGGAATAATTATGCCAATCTAATATTTTCTGCTAACTGAATTTTATTGCTGTTTCAAATAAATAAGATAAGTGCTAAGCAGAACCTGAAATTATATTCTCAAAACTAACGTAAGAGTTGATGATTTTGACATTATCTTGTCCATTTAGGACTTTTTCAGGTGATATGGGTACACATAATTTATATATTAGGCCTTATTCTATAATTTAATTTTTATCAAGCGATTCCTCTTGAATCATGTCATCGTCTTGCTTCACAGATAGAAAATCTGGTTTACTTAAAGTCACATGATTCTAATCGTTCCCTGAGGAAATGGTTTTTTTAAACTTTCTCAAAATTTCTGAAATTACCTGATCATCTTTTTCAGAGTTGTATGATGGGTTAGTAACTGTTGATTCATGTTGAAATTTCTCCTCTCACTTTCTTTGTCTTATCTTATCACTAATAATTTTCTTATGAGCCTTAAGCAAGAAAATATTCATATCTTTTTCTTTCAACGATTTGCCGTTAACCATTAAGGCACTTTGCAAGCGCATCACAGAGTTGGCAAGTACTGTAGCCACCTCTGTTACCAGTTCTTGTTTATTATAGCAATCCTCTTCAGGAAAGGAATTATCTATTTCCACATCCATTAATAGTTTCTTATAATACTCTACAACTGAATTAAATTTAGATGTATTATTGTCAGAAGGATTATTATTATTTAACTGCTCTTTCACTGGTAAAGAAGCCTATTTCACTATCGCAAGTCTAGCCTCGAGCTCCTTATTTTTTTGTACCAGTTCCTTAACTCTAACATTATGTCTGGTATTTTCCTCTATAATCTGCTTTAGAAGCTCAGCTTTTTTAGCCTCAGGCTCAGCATTCTTAGCTTCAAATTCAACGATATACTGTTTTAATACTTCAAGCTCAAATATCATAATTGATAAATTTTATACAAGAAATAGAATATTCAAAAGTAAGTTAGTACAGTATATATCAGATATAAGAAAAAATAGACATAAGTTATGACGTCACCAGATTTCTGAGACCACGTGGTCTCAGATAAAAATGCTAAGAAAATTTTACGTGATCTGCTTATAATGCAAAAAAAATCTAATTAATGATTATGCAAAACACCTCTCAACACATTCTGGACTAGCTAGTTATTCAGACTCTGATTCAGTTTCAGAGCTAGAAGATTCTGAATTAGAACAGCAGTAATATTTATTAAAATTTTCAATATTAATATTTGGATTTAGCTGATTCATGACTTTTTTGCTAATATTTTCATATCTTTTCAAATCTAGAAATTTTAAATTGAAACATGAGCGAGCAATTTTTTCGATAGTCTTACTTGTAATATTGCAGTAACTAAGGTTGGGATGTTGGAGCTTTAGGTAGAAACATATAACATTACAAATTGATGGCTCACTAACAAAATCATAGTAATACAGATTGAGGTATTCTAATTTATGACAAGTATGAGCCAGCACTTCAGTAACCTTATCAGTGATATCATTATAGCCAATCTTTATATGTCTTAAATTCAGAGATCTTTTGATAATAGCTATAATTAATCTATCATCCTATAAAGCCATGATATCACAAAAATCAAGATACTCTATATTGAAACATCTTCATATTAAAGTATTAGTATCTTTGATATCTCCTTACTATATGCAATATCAAGTTTTCGTAAATTTGAGCATGAGTTTAAGATGCAACTTATAGATTTATCTGTGCTTCGGCAAAATGAATTACTTGTATATCATGGCAATTTTCTGCGATTCTAAACAAAGATTTATTGGTAATGTTTCTGCAGTAAGAAATATTTAGATATTTTAATTTATGGCATAATTCTACAATTGCACATAACCTTTTATTGGTTATTGCCTGAGTATCCCACAAATTGAGATATCTTAAATTAGGATATGATTCCGCTATTATAAATAGTGATTTATCACCAAAACCTATACTTTCTTTGAAATCTAAATGAATTATATTCAGAAATGTATCCGTAATACTTTTTATTTTTTTATCCGAAAGTGAATAGTAATAAGTAATTTCTAGATGGGTTGTATTTGAAACATGAGCTAGCTTATTCTTTTCATATATTATTTTACAAATATTTTCCATTAAATACGATTTCTCTTACTATAAATATATCTATCTGAGAAATAGTGCCCATATCTCAGGTCATTCCCTTTAGTTTGATATATTTCTATAAGTTAGAAATAGCACATCTATATCAAAATCAGTTAATAAATAGAGCGGGATAGAAAGATTTATCTATCGCTAAAAAATGTAAATCTGTTCTAATAGTTTCAGTAAATTTATAACACCTAAATGCGCTATAAATAATATATGCTATATCTTTAACAAAAAATAAAATTACGCATATTGGTGATAGATCTAGCAAAATTTGCTAAAGGCGC